TCACACATTCCTTACTATCACCACAGCTTCTCTCTTGATGAAACAAAATCTTTCCTTGTCTGACAGTTCTGAAAATTGAAGCAAGAAAACCTCAGTGATGTTGCTGTACTTGGACGGACATGCGAAGCATGGCAGTCTTCTGAGCAAAACTTTTCCGTTGCTTGTGCTACAAAGAAGAGATGCAAATAACAAATTGGCAAACTTGCATTTTAGAAGATTCTGCACATATCTGAGGGAACAGAAATGTTACCGCAAGATTACTGAAAAAATAGGTTGATGATTTAGTTGTGTGGAAGATGTGTATGGTCAGCAAAGGCATGTACTCTCTCATGAGCTAAAGCAAGGGCAAATTCCTGGCCCTGCTGAATCCCGGGGGAGACTTGATGGGACTCACCCCAAACGTTATTAGCATTACTCTGGCAGGGTCAATGGGCAGAGACATTAGTGGGGTCTGCCCTGCCTGATGCTTCCCTCAGACAATTGTCAAAGAATCGGTGGTTAGGAAAATCCGTTAGTGGGGACAAGGGGTGGTGCAAGATGTAGTGTTAACAGCACGCAGACTCCACCGGTGCAGAAAGGTGGTCTGTCCGCAAGGGTCGCTCAGAGCAGGAGTGAAAAGTGGATGCTCTGATGTGCCCCACAGCGGAGGTTATCAAGCCCAGAGATGGTCCCGGCCCTCTGAGCTGCAGAACTTGGATACCTCATGCGAGGGGTAGGAAGATGCTTGCCTGGGCGAGGAGAAAAGCATGGCCAGACTGCCCGGTGGCTTGAGGTAGAATGAAAGTAGGACCTGGGCAATTTTAAGCCTGGGAATTATGAAAAGAAACTATTACAGGACTTCATGATGTTAATGTCATTTTTCTGACCAGTTCCACTCAATAACCCTAGCAAATCCCAATGATGAGTCAATTTTTCATTAGTGCTAGCACAGAGCAACACTAGAGGCCACAAGGCAGAGAGAGAAATGCTGAGACAGCCTAATGGAGCATACAGCTCAGCCTAAACTACTTGCATGTTTTGTTTTGTTTTGTTCTTTTAATTCTTGAAAAGAATTAGAAAAGGATGGCAAATTTCAGCAGAAGTAAAACAAAACCACAGGGGTGTTTGTCTGTGGATTAAGTGTTTTCAAGAACTAGCAAGAGTAAATGTTTTCCTGTTTTCACTCTGTTTTCTGTACCTTAGGACCAAGCCACATAGGATAGTTGCTGAGACTCCCAAGTTTTCCTATTTGGACTCTCTTATTTTAGATAACTTGTTTTGCAGAGCTGTGCAACCCAGGAGGGAAATTAAGGTCAGAGATGAGAAAAACCCACCTAAGGGCTAGAAATACTTCTAGTTTCTCAAAGACCACCCTGTGTGGGAATCATAGATCATAAAAATGGGTGGAACCTCTAAGCCTGGAGTTGTATCAAGTTATTCATGAAAAATCTCTGAGATCTTTGTGTGGACCAAGATATTTGGGTGGTACTTTCTAACTCTTCAGAGAGGCACTGTGGCCTCAAAAACTGAAAACTAGCCCTGGTTTTTCTTTGGCTTTAAAAATGGCTATGTATCTTGAAAAGCTGTCTCAGCAGTAGTGAAGGAGTGAAAAAAAAAAAGTGTATTATATCCCCATGGTTTCATACAGTGCAGCTGTGCTAACAGAGTGCATTGAGACTGAGACCAAAGGCAAGGCATGAAATAGTCCATGAAATGATCAGTTGAATCTAACAGTAAAGCTTCACGCAGTGGGGAGATCTATTGTCCAGGTATCCTATTGCAGATGGGAGTTTTTAATCCCTTTTTATTTTTAGAGGGAAAAAAATCCAGAATATTATTAAATTCAAACCCTTTGTATTAATAAAATTTTTACTGAAATCAATGGGAATGTTATCTTCTCATAGGTTGTCTACCTTACTTTGAATTAAAATCTTTAAATATTCTTACAATATATTTGGATTAAATATCCATATTCTGTGGGATTAAAAGTTTTGATTTTACTTCTGCTTGAATCTCTGTAGGATGATGGTCAGATTTGAAAACAACCAGGTCTCTAGATCTATTAAATCAGTTTAAAAAAATTTCATTTTTTTGAAAGAAGTAAGCATGCGTCAACATACAGGCTTCAACAGTCTCTCCTAGGTCTTGGGATAATTATTAGTAGTACAGGAATAATGGAACAAGTATCGACCAAATGTAATATGCAGTTGCCACAGTAGAGCTATTCCCCCTGCGTCGACTCTGAAGTACAAGCGGTTAGTTTATAACCCTCTTTAGGTTACAACATTTTAACGTTGCTTCAGTGTTTATTTATTCTCTTCCCAAAGAATGTTCTGAAATATCGAGTTTACAACCTGTGGCTCATGTGATGGTAGTGGAAACAATTAAGCTAGAAGCTTTCAAAGCCACCACTGGGATTTTGATGCCCAAACTCATTAATTTTAATAAGAAGTGAGCTGCCAGTCGTCTTAAGTGGTTTCTAAAATCTCAACCCATAAAAACACCTCTCTACTGGTTGCAGTTTACTAGGAGCTCAGAGCAAGGTAAACATGTGTAACAAAATAGTAGGTGTTAAAGGGTGGAAAGTATGTGTTCAGATGTCTCTAAGACCATTCAAGGAACCAAATGGCGGCCCCAGCCTTGAGCTGGCAGATGTCGACTGACGTGGGGGCTGCTCCTACCTTCAGTGTCTCGGGGAATTACCGACTGATCAGAACAGGAGGAACAGTTTTGGTGGTAAGAAGAAAGTCAATGGAAACAGAAATCTTGGCAACAGCTCAGTTCCAGCTGTGATGATCATATCGTTTGTCTACTTTGGGCTCTCACACCTGCTCCATGCTCTGGCCTTCTTAACATGTTTCTGCCCACCACAGGCTTGTGGCCAGGGTAGTGTTCTTCTCCCCAGAGTGCAGATGGATGGCTGGGTTGCAGGAAGACCTGGGTGAATTCACACCACACAGTGAAGAGCAGAGGTATCCAGAGCAGTACCAGAACGAGCTGTCTTTGGGCAGTATCACCCAGCTTTGCTTTGGCGTAAGTGCAGCAGGCAATGAGGCCAGAGATTTCTTGCCACCCGTTGCTGCCTGCTGCCATTGCGGTTACCCACATGGTGTTTGTAGATGCTTGGTCCAGGTCCTTCCTGCCTGCCTAACCTGTCCTATCCAAATTCGCACTGTGTTATCTTCCAAGCTGCTAAATGGCTGCATTTGCATGTTGATACTTCACTGATCCACCGTCATGGTTGGATAAAAATGAAGAACTGTCTGCTCTGACCTGACGGACTCACCCAATGCAAACCTATGAAAGCCTTTCCTTTTATGTGAGTCTGCAGATGGCTTTGCTTCATCCATGAGCCTATGTCACAGCCTAAGAAGTCTTGAAGGCTTTGGAGAGCACCAACATCTCTCAAAGAAAGTTGCTGCACTAATGAAAACTCATCCTCAACATGACTCATGGAAGAAAGTCTTAATGGGAAAAAAAAATCCAGAACCAGCAAATCTCTCTGTGATGTAAAATAGAGCATGGAGTGAGTATGAATGAGTTCGAAGAATTTTAGAATTAGTTTAAACAAGTGCCTTTCTTTTCTCTGTCAAATGATCTCTGAAGAACTTCATTAATGTTGGCTACAAGTGACAAAGTTACTACGGTTTTTGACAGTGAGTCTCATAGTACCAACAATTAATTATCAATAGTTATTGGAAGAACATGATGTAGTGGAAATAGAGATGACCATCTTGACTGCTATTGTAATGGACTTCAAAAAAGTAAAAAAGAAAAAAAAGCTGCCATTACTAGTAGATGTGACTTTTTTGGAAGAGAACAAAACGTTCCATAAATGAAACATGTGGTTTCACTTGCAGCACATTTTGTACATTGTCACCAATGAAGTTTAGGGTTTTTTATTACTTTTTCATTAAAATGTCTTACTGGTTTCACTCAGGAGGCAAGACTTTTCACATGGCTTTAATTGTTTCTGTCATAAAAGTCATAGCATCCATGTAATACAAATAGTTTTGCAGACCACAGCTTCATATTGCCTATTAATTCTCTTCCATTTTCTGTACCTACAACTCTTTGGGCCATCCCAGAGACACAAAAAGTTCCTCTCTTGCAATTAAGACCAAACAGGAACTTCTACTGACATTAGGGGGAAAAAAATCACTTTGTGTCCGTACTGGTTTATTAGATTTTTGTTTCAGATACCTTAGCTCACAAATGTAAGTTCACATGGCTGCATATCAAAGGAGAGAGTTTGTATTGACTTTTTTTCTAAAATTAGTGAAATTCTAGAATATGAAAACAATAAAAGGCCTTTTTCTGCATAGTTCCAGTCATATGCAAGAGGTGGTAGTATTTCAAACAGGAGTGAAGAGCTCTGGCAGTGTTGTTTCAGGGTGGCTTTGGACAGTTCATTTACCCCTTTTTCGCTTCATTTCTCCAGTATACAAAAACTGTTAGAGTTCAGGTCTCACATATCCTGTCCCAGCAACCTAGCCATTAGACCATACTTTTGTCATCAGTCTGGGCTTCCCCATCACTAATCCTAACTTGACAGAACAAGCATAATTATTATTGCAGTCAAAACAATTACTTGTTTTGCATAGATCATATCCAAAGTTGAAAAAGTAAGAAGGAAACTAGTATTATGTCATTAATTTAAGATCAGCTTCTGTTAAGATCTCTGTTTTCACACTTTTGCCATTTAACCTTCAGCCCAGCGGGGGAGGCGACATTGACCCCTGCCGCAGGCTCTAAAGCCTGCAAGAAGTAATTAAAATGCCAGAAAACAGCAATAGTGTACCAACTGCCTTTTTGCCCTTTTTCAGTTTAGTGTTTATTTGAAAGATTGCTAGGAAATGCCATTGCTGTCTTTAGTTGCTGCCCCAGAACAAAAACCTTTCTCCTTGTACACCTTCTGAGCAGTTAGGAGCACCCACCAAGTGGTGTAGTCCTTTGCTTTCACTTTTTCGTAGCACAATTCCTTGCTTATTCATCAAATGTTTAAATCTTGTGTTATGCAGTTCAAGGACGACAAAGACAAGCCCAGCCTTGGAAGGTTCCCAAGCAACAGCCCTGCCTGCTGTCCAGCTTTCTGAGCAGGTCCCACTGACGTCTCCTTCCCTGAAGCCCCTGCAGATGGATGAAGAAGACAGCCTGTCTCCTCACCTCCTGTTGCCAGATAGCATCAGCCAGCTGGAAGAGTTTGGCAGGCAGAAGAAATGGCACAAGAAGCAGCACAAACATCATCGCCAGAGGCAGTTCAATGACCTCTGGGTTCGGATAGAAGACAGGTGAGTCATAACTTTTATGGTCTCTAGCCTCTTCCTGCTGTCTCCTAACTAGTTGCTCTTTACAGATGTCAGCTTTTGTTGATTAGACCATAAGGAGGGTTGGAGAAAGGCTAAATGGGAGAGACAGGGAGCGAGGTGATGTTTTTGGAGCCTAATGAAGAACTGGGAGGAAGGCTTATAGACACTTTTGATGGAAAAGTAAAGAGAAAAAAAGCTAATGCTTAGAATATTTAAAATATAGAGAAACAGAGACTTGTCAGAGTAAAAACAGGAAAAAAATTACAATGGAAAATATTCTGTGTTTGCCTTCTTTCTTCCAATAATTATTTTCTGATCTTTACTGTCAGTTTTCAGCCCAAAGACTCGCCCATTTTCCAACCATGCAGAATATTCCTGGGAGTTTTTAAGATTCTGACATATCTGACTTTCAATCTTCTTAACTGTGTTCTGAGGCTGAAGTGTTTTAAGATCTCAGACTGCATTGAAAACAGCAAACTGAGGCAAAATGAAATACTTAACTAAGTCCTGTATATGAAGAGAGTGGAGGTAGGCACACTTCGTGGCCATTCCAGTCTCAGTCTGAGGTTAAAAACTCCCATTTAGTGTTTGAATAAGAGCCTTCATGTTTGACCAGGGCTTCTTGATGTATGCTTTTAGGATTCCTGAGCAATTTATTCTCCCACCTCTAAAACTGGGAAAGCTCTTGGTGCCTTTATCCAGACCAAGTCATGGGCAGATAAACAGCCACAGTGTTTATAGATCTCCTAACAAGTAAAAGGAATGAAATAATCTGTTGTGAACTGGCTGCTTGCCTATACCTGTGATGATTGTCTTTGAGCATTAGTTTTATTCCCATTTTCATAGCACCTAAATTCCTTGCAAGTAAAATGAGTCAGAGTCTCTCAGAGGCTTCTCCCTTTGCCAAGGAAAAAACTCCACATATTTGTGTTTTGGGATTTTTTTTTTTTATTTTTATTCATTCTTTTTAATCGAGCAGTTGCCTCATTTTTTGGTAGTTCATTGTATTCTCAGGGTGAGTGATGTAAGGGTTGTTACTAAGGTGGTGCATATTAATCTTAACGTAGCAAGGCTATTTCTGAGGTTAATACCAGCCTCGGTAAGAAGGATTCATGTGTTTTATTCTCAAAGTGTGTTCAGTGGTGGAATCCTCTCCACAGGGGATGATTAAGCATGAACTAAGAGGCATTTGATCAGCATAGTTGAATGCCCCAAGGACAAGGGACTTTTCTATCTTTCTTCTGCCTGGGGGCCACCAAGCCATGGTGTCCCGTGATGTCCCAGCATTTCACAAAAGTGTCTAGTCCAGCTCACCATATGTGTCATACAAGTGAGGTGCTAAAATTGATCTGGTGGGAGCCTGGCAGTTAGGCACAATCCTCCTGCCCCCATGCTATCTATCCAGAAAGGATATTGGCTATTGGGCCTGATATGCCTGTGGAAATGTGCAGCTGGGGGCTTAAAACAGTGATGCTTGCATAGCTTTGGTGGACTTTTGTGCCCTTTGCTGGTTTTTTTCAGTGAGAAATATTCCTAGGAAAAGTATTTAAATGGGTACTTCCCCAGGTTAGAGTTAAATTATTCGCTGTGTGCTCCTGTGAGATTTCATCTGAATCAAAACCTTTTATCCCTCTCCTTCCATTTCATATGGATGGAGACTGGGATAAGGAAACATAAGTTTCCGCTCTCACCACGCTGTTGATGAACCAGACGCTGTGTGTTGCCTGCCTTAGTGAAAGATCCTGGGGAGATATTAGTGGGAGATCACAGCCCTAGAAATGAAGAAAGGCTGGGAGAAGGGAAGTCTGCCTTAGTGCTTTCAGATGGTTTCAGTGCTTCTACAGTTCTGGAGTAACTTCTAGTGTTTTCCTGGAAACAAAACAAAACAAAAAATACAAACTGTTCAGCTAAATCAGAGACTCGCGACTAGCTCTGGTTTCCCCATAAATTGGATGGGGTCTCAACTTTCATAAACCAGCTGCTGCATATTGTGCTTTTGGCAGTTGGGTTTCATCAGCATTAATTGCAAGCTGGACCTTGCACAAGGCAATAAACAGGGAGTTCTCTCTAACTGGTTCCTTTCTGATTGGCAAGAAAAGGGCAGAAATGTGTGCCTGTCACCAGACTTTGTAGCGTGATCGTTCTTGGGAGGAGACAGCTGGGATGGCTAATAATATGGGCAATGGAGTGTTACCTGTGCAGGAGAGAAGCATGTGAACTTCTATTGTGTTGCCTCAATAATGTTCACCAGCACTCAACAGTGAGACTGTTAGCACTCACTTTTGGAGAATAATCGGTGTACTAGAAGTTCACGCTCTGGCCTGTCCCATAGATCCATTGTGCATTTGCATATGCTTAAATTGGAGCCCCTCATGTTCTATATGGACTGAGGTCTCTGCATGTAGTATTATGTTGAGCTATGACCCTGTATTTCCAAGTAGTTCTTCCAGTTTGAGTTTCCTAACTCACCTGTTGACACCTGAAACTTGACTTGTTCACCTGAGACAAAGTAGAGGGATTTAGGTCATTGTTATGGCTTTTGGGTGAAAGCTGCATAAAACTTATTGTTTCCATGCAAGGTCTCCAGAATTCAGCTGTTTGAACTGCCTTTCAACCTGAAAAGTCAAAGAGAACTATACAGGTGGAGGACAAATCCGGGTGAATTTAAACCAGATTATTGATTCTTGTATGAACCTCATTGAACTGTGAAATGACTGTGGTTCATACAGCTCTTTTCCAAGGCTTTATTGACCATGGATTAGAAGACTTTATGAGCCATGAATTGCAGGGCTTTTATGGACTACGCATTTCTAGGCTATCTCATACACTTCCATGGAAATCTCAGGGTGTTTTTTTAAGCTACCAACACAGAAACAAAGGAAATGAACACAGGAGAACAATCTTAAAGGAACATCAAAGGTCTGACTCCAACCTATAAAAGCCAGGAAATCCATAATTAATGGTTCCACTAAGACTTCAGCTCACACAGTCGTTCGGGTCTGATCTGAGGTTATAGCTACAATCTGAAATGGCCTCGTGAAAAATGAGTCATCATTTAATGTCACACATCATTATTAGTATTTACTTTCAGTTATACCTTGGAGATTGTCCTTTCCTTTTTGTTCTGTCTTAACAGCTGAGGCATTTGAGTTGGCACCCCTGAGTGGACTGTGTTTAGATTTGTGTGTTGGAGGGTTAGTACCACTGTGGAGGATGAGAAGGCTTCTGCTCTTCCTGTCTTCTCCCTGTCTTTGACAGAGCTAAGATTTGCGGATCTCCTGGGTAATCAGCTACACTGAAGGCTATTAAAAAATAAAAAATGCTGATGAAATGTGTGGTTTCCTCTCCCTTCTGCCTCCTTCCCCCAAAATCTAAACAAAATGAAAAAGTCCTGCCTGGCTGCAGTTTGTGTTTGAAATTGTTTGTCAAGAATCAAAATTAAATGGAGATTTCAAGTAGCAGGATTTTTTTTTTAACTACTTGATTTTGCAGAAATGTGCAAATCTGAAGTCTGTCTTTGGGAGGAATTTGAACTTAGACAAAACTTAAACCCTAGCTAGCTCCCATAGCCAAAAACCAGCTGGGGCAGGAGGGAGGGGAGGCAAAACCCTTGGGCTTGAAGGCTGCAGTTTGGCATACAGAGCGTGTTATTGTTCCTGTTGACACTGTGTTAACTAAACTTCCCTTGTAATATAAATAATTAATTACAGATCATTCACTGGCTTTTCATGATGAGCTGCTCAGTTAATTGAAAGAGTAGAGAAATGTCTGTGACGTTTCAGAGTAGTCAATGAAGGCCAGATCAGGATCACACCTTTGTTCTAGCAGGCAGACGGTTTAGGGCTACAAACAAAACCAGCCCAAGAGAACAGAGAACCTCTCCCAGCTCGGAGGGACTGTTATAGCTCCTGGGGCCCTAAGGCAGGGCGGAGGGGAGAGCTCCTGGGAAAAAGGGATCGAGGGGAGTTAGTAACTGGAAGGGTGTTTCAGGAGGTGTGAGGTTTGGAAGGTGCAATGGCAGCTGGGGGATGTGAAAGAGAGAAATACAGTGGTGGGAAGAAAGAATTAGAGAGGATGTCGTGGGCAAATTCAGAGGTTCATTCCCACTGCCAAGGAAGAGATCTAGGTGAAGGTGGTGTTTGCAAAGACACTGAGGACACACAGATGCTTCACTTGCACAGGAAAGAAATTAAAAGAAAAGAATTGTTATCAGAAGAGAAAAAAGAAATTCTTGTCCCAGATGTAAGCTCAGCCCTCCAAAACCTGCCATTAGTGGGAAATGAAATGAATTCCTCCTGTAATTGGAAATGGCATTTCTCTGATAGCCCAGTGCTGATTATTCAACCCCAGATGAATGCAATAACATCACAAATATCAATTTCTTTTGGAAGCAACTGTTATTTTAGGCCAAAAAAAAATTATACCAGTGATGGATGAAGGGAGACAATGTGTAATAAACTGCACAAAGTGTGCCTGTATAGAGTGAACCTTATCAGTTTGGATGGAATTTAAGCACTTAGCCTGTTATCCTTTCTTTCAAGACAATGCAGTGATGGAAAACAGAACTCTGTCAACTCAGACAAACTTTTAATTTCACTTAACTGCATCTGAAAGGTAAATTTCAGTAAATGAATCCAAATTGCTTCCTTTTCACAACACACGGTGCTGAAATACAGTACTTAACTTCATTAAAGAAAAGACTGCTTTTCTTTAGAGGAGACCTAGACACTTTTGAAGTCTAACAGGTAAATTGTGGTCAGATGATTTCCCTCCATATGGTAGCTTTGAGCTTGAAATTTCCATCACTGGGGCCTTGTTTGTTTAAATTATGCTATCCGCCTCCCTGGTAAGGATACTGCTCGGAGAGTGCATGCCTACTGACGCTTATGGGGAGGGGGGGGATCGTTCCCTCCTCCTGTCCATCTCCGTGCAGCCGAGTAAGCAGTTGCCACCATTGCATTTATTTGCCCTATGCTCAACCA